CCCCCCCCCAACCTCAGATATATAGGATGCCTGGCTCAACAGGCTTTAAACGTTGCACTTTATTGCAGTGATGCTATCTCCATCTCTGATGGGCACACTCAATGCATCTGTTGCCTGGGGGAATATTGTATCCCCACTGCAGGAAGCTCAAAGCCTGAACTCACAGGGACCTACATCTCAGGCTCTTACTACTTGAAACATCCCTTCATCCAGCCTTGGACCCAGAGCCTAAACCTGAAACCACTCAACCCAGAGGTGGGCAATAATTTTTGAAGGGAGACCACTTCGCAAATTTTGGAAGGCTGTGAGCCGAGCTGGAAGGGGCAGGGCCTCAGGCAGAAGGGATGGGGTTGAGAACTACTTTGCTGGGAGCTTTGTTTGGCCTGTGGTCCCTGCCCCCTGACTTCAGGCCAACAGAAGGGTCCAGGAGCAGATAGATGGGAAAGTGCTAGGGGCTAGCCTACTTCCAGAGTTGTCTGGGGTGGAGGCTTAGAATTCACATAACATGGCTGGCAGCTCCTGGCCCTGCTGCTAACCTGCCGCCTGGCAGTCATCCAGCCAGGCACAAGCCCTTTGAATAGAAGCAGTTGAAAGGGCTCGCGCCTTCTAGGCAGCTCCCAGGCAACGGGCTGGGGGACTGAGAGCTGCAAGCCCTTATTGCTTCTGTTTAAAGGGCTCTCCTGTCTTTGGCTCCCAGGCAATGTGCTAGGGCAGGGGTCAGCAACCTTTCAGAGGTAGAGTGCTGAGTTTTGATTTATTCGTCTCTATGTATGGGTCTGAGTACCGGTGATACTTTTCAAAGACAATAATAGTCCTACTTACAGCAGCTTCATTAATAAATAAAGGTGCAGACCTTACCTTTTAGAGCAGGGGTTGGCAACCTTTCAGAAGTGGCATACTGAGATTTAACTTATTCACGGATCTGTGAAGGAGGAGGGAGAGGAGGCGAGGCAAGAGCAGGCTGTGTATGGTGACCTTATTTTCTGAACCAGCTGCAGCTAGTGAGAACAGTTTAATTTAAATTATGAAACAGATTAAGCAGTTTAACTTTCTCATATTAGTTTATCAAACTTCATTTTAAATAAAGTAAAATATATGTCCAACGCAAAAGGTTTCAACGTTTGTTTTCTTTATGGCGGGTGGGGAAACTTTTTTGGGTCGGGGGGTTGCTGACCTACAGAAAAATCAGTTGGGGACCAACTGAATGGTGGGGACTGAGGTTCAGGGTTTCCCATAGACCAGATTTACTTTCCTGGGGTTCTGGAGTTATTGGATCTTATGGATCTCCTTAGGCTCTGGGGTAGGGACAAAAATGAGGGTACAGTGTACAAGACGGCTGTCAGGAAGTAAGATAGGGATGGGGTGCAGGATCTGGGAGGGAAGTAGGGTGCAGAAGCAGGCTGGGAGTAGGGTTGTCTAGCGAGGAGGAGGGAGCAGGAGCAAGGGAGGGTGCAGTGTGGTCAGGAGAGAGGGTACAGGAGCAATCTGGATGAAGGAGCAGGGTAGGGTGTCTGGCCAGGAGAGAGGGTGCCAGGAGCAAGGGAGAGTGTTGGACCAAGCTGTGGTGCTGGGTCTTGTGGGGGGGAGGCGAGGCATGAGGGGGGATCTTACCTGGCTTCATGCCCCCTTGCAGCCACAGCCATGCTGTCCTGGCCACCTTGCTGGGGCCCATGTGGTCTTGCCCTGGAAGCCGTGCTGCCACAGTTGTCACAGTCTGGGGACGCCCCAGAGGTCCCCACTGTCACTGTGGTCTGGGGCTGGCCCCAGAAACCCTGATGCTGTGGCCCACACGGTCCGGGGTGAGCCCCAGAGGCTGGAGGTGCTGCTGCTGCTGCAACCATACAGACCTGGACTGCATGGCCACAGCAGCGGTGCCTCCAGCCTCCGGGGCTGGCTTCGGACTGAGTGGCCATGGCAGAAGGCGCCTCTGGTCCCAGCCAAAGTACTGCTGAGGTGCCTCAGCCCCAGCACTATCTCCTCCCACTGCAGCCTAACCTGCTGCAGGGAGGAGAGAGCTCTCTCCAGCGGCTGCGAAGAGCAGGAGTGGGGCTTGGCTCCCTCCTGTGTGCTGCTGAAAATCAACTTGCGTGCCATAAGTGGCATGCGTGCCATAGGTTGCCGACCCCTGCGCTAAGAGACGGCCTGGAACTGCCTCGTGGGTCGGATCAAAGCCCTATGTGGGCTAGATCCAGCCTGCTGAGAGGCTTTTGCCCTGCAACCATACAGCCCTGGACTGCATGGCCACAGCAGCGGTGCCTCCAGCCTCCGGGGCTGGCTTCGGACTGAGTGGCCATGGCAGAAGGCGCCTCTGGTCCCAGCCAAAGTACTGCTGAGGTGCCTCAGCCCCAGCACTATCTCCTCCCACTGCAGCCTAACCTGCTGCAGGGAGGAGGGAGCTCTCTCCAGCCGCTGCGAAGAGCAGGAGTGGGGCTTGGCTCCCTCCTGTGTGCTGCTGAAAATCAACTTGCGTGCCATAAGTGGCATGCGTGCCATAGGTTGCCGACCCCTGCGCTAAGAGACGGCCTGGAACTGCCTCGTGGGTCGGATCAAAGCCCTATGTGGGCTAGATCCAGCCTGCTGAGAGGCTTTTGCCCACCCCTTCCTCAACCCATGAGGGGAAAGAAATCCTCAAAGAAATGCGCCTCCTTGATGCCACAGAAAGCTCCTATGACGAAACTTGCGCTCTGACCACTTCAGTGCTGACACCATCTGCTGTGCTGCATCTCAGCGTGTATGATGCTCCAAGGCATCTCCAGCACTGCCCACACTGTTACTAAACCCTGTGCTCATCGACCGCTTGCCAAGGCTACAAGCTTCAAGTTGCCTGCCTCACAGAATATGGCAGCGTTCGGCACCGATGTTGCTGCACTGACAGTACAGGCACTGCCTCTGGCACCTGCTGTACTCATCACTGGCACCACGGAGGCACCTCCAACCTCCCCATTATGGTTGATGCTGAGACAGCAAACAGTACTGCAAATTATCTCAGCACAGTCTTCTCTGGCACCACAATACACTCACCACAGAGATCTTTGGCTCCTTGACTTTCAACTCCTTTTCTTGGCACTGACCTCTTACCGGGCACTCTGCTACTGAACCATTCTTTCTCTGTAGGGTCCCACTCAGTTCCCCAGTGTAGAGAAGGATGACAATGTGGAGATAATCTTCTCACCTCTGAACTCTCTTCCCACTGATCCTTCCATTTTTTCAGCACATAGCGTAGATGCACTGAACATAGAGACCTGGATGCCACCCTCCATGCTCTACCCAGGTCATTGGCAATACTGGAATCCATGGATACAACATTAGACACCAGTCTACTAAGTACTGTACTGCATCATGGGAGGCATCCCCCCCTCCCACCTCAGTCTCCATCACCACAATGGCAGCAGGAGAATGTGGACAATGCCAGCCACAGCCGTGGCCCCAGAAACATCACTGGATACCAATTCATCTTCCTCTTCTGATGAAGCCAGGATGCCACCTCCCCGCCCTTCCCCCGCTGCTGCTGCTGACTTCACACACTTCCAGGACCTCAGCAGAATAGAAACAGGTCTCAATGTCATTGTCCACACTCCACTAATAGTCATCAGCCCCCTCAACCAAATAAGCAAATTTGAGGGAATTGTTGAGAAT